TTGATATAATATAAGAAGGATTAAGATAATCTTAATGCAAATGGACGTGCCCCATGTTTTTTCCTTTGATACTGAAAGCTCGACCAGAAGAAGAAATATAAACAAACGAAAAGGAAAGTGCTCCAAAAGTTGCTTACCATGAATAGATAGGCTGCTTACATTGATATCCAAGAAACCCTAAGGATGCGTTTGTTGCACATTGTTTTAGATTGTACTAACTTCAGGAACTAAGTTGGACTGGCTTAAATTAGACTAAACTGTGCAATATCGAACTAAAAAGCAAGATAATGACAATCAATGAAAAATAAACCTATTTGAACAATCACAACAAATGAATTCGATATGATAAACTAACCAACCTAGATTCAATATAGAAGGAAAATTGAAATTAACTAAATCCACTATTCTCTACCTGCCCATTTCAAACCAAAACCAAACAATTTTTCAGAATTAAAACATAATAATAAATTTCTCACAAAGCCACCCAATGAAAAAAAAAAAAAAAAAAAAGGGTGAAAAATTGTATTGTAATCATTTTGTCCATCGCTATCTGAGGTTCTGAAATGTGAGCCCAAAAATTGTATTGCGCCCCAAATTGAACGACACAGTCGCCACAACCACAAATCGACAAATCCAATTGATGGTGCTACAGATCCATCTTCGTCACCTTCGTGCAGCCGTCGGTCTTCGAACTCAGTCTTCAAACCCAGCCTTCGAAGGTCCCATCGTTCGGGCCGCGGTCGGCGACCCCAGCCCTCAATCGATCGCAATAATCAAATAAACTCTCCATTCTCTGATTGATCCACCACCCAAGGAGTGTTCTGTCACCTCGGCAAAGAGGAGTGGGTGGTGCCGACATCGATCCAAGTCGGGGTTGTCAGTGCAAAGAGATAGAGGAAGGGGGAGAGAGGATGAGAAGTGCAGGAACAGACGCAAGAAGACAAAGGTGTTGGCAATCTCGGTGGGTTTGCAGGGGTCTGGCTAAGAACTTCTAGTGAGGCCATTTCCAACGAAGTTCACGTTCGAAAATAGCTCGAAAATCGTCTTCAATTAAAAGTTAGGTCAGAAGGTTATGGAATCTGAAAGGGTCTCATGAAATTGAAGAGGGTTGGAGGGCTGGTTGCAAGCAGCCAGCCAGCCCGGGACTGATCAGAAAAATAGTTTTTCTGTCGGTTATAACCGACAGGAATATATATATATTAAAAATTAAATGTATTCTTGTCGGTTATAACTGACATGATTGCTTAAAAAAATATTTGAATACACTGAGTAGTTAACTAGCTGTTGTATTCAAATTTTTTTGGACCAATTTTTTTTTTTTAAATTCTTAAAAATTCTAATTTTTTTCTTATAAATACATAAATCATTCATTAAATTTAAATTCTAATTTTTTTGGATTAGTTATCGTTGTAGTTTTTAAATTTAAGTTGCTAGATTTGAATTTAAGTTGCTGTAGTTTTTAAATTTAAATAATAAATTATGTTTGACCCTATGACCCTTTGAGCTTCGGTTGGAGACGATTTTTTGTGGCAAGGCTAAAACGAGCCCTCTGGCCTTCGGTTGGAGATCGATGCAAATATGGTCATGTACTGTTAATTAAAATATTAATATTGGAGAATCTTGGAGGGTCAGAAGGTTAAAACGAGCCTTCTGGCTAGCCCTCGGTTGGAGATGGCCTTAGTCGACGCGTATCTCGGCTAGTACCATTAAAGCTAGTCCGTGTGAGTAATAAACACGGTATTGAACTAATCTTTAATCTTATCTAGGCCAGTGAAGATTAACGAGTGCAAACAAATGCATCATTATTCTTTAAGGGGACAAAACACAAAAAGCACAGTAGTGAATCACCGTCTGCTTTTGCTTTGCCCTAATTAGTAAGTCTGTAGGCCACCAGCCATGATTTCAGCCGCAATATCAATCAGCTTTCAGCACATCACTGCCGTCCTAGAAACTTCAAAAGTTAAATATTTGATTAACTAAAGGTAAAGTATTTTGTAAACCGCATTCTCAATAACCTAAATGATTTGGGTTTTAGCTTAAGTTTGAAAGTAGAGTAACACGTATGCTAGCTAGGCTTTGGTATTTGGGTCAAGGCCATGTTATCTATGCTAAGTTTGCAGGAACGGTGACTTGGTTTTACCTAATCTTGCAAAAGGGATGCGGTCTCGGAATCCGTTTGGGTCAACAGAAGAAACGTGTAAATTAACTATGATCCTTTGGAATATTTTATGACCATCCATATTTTATATCGTAATCACCATCAGAAATTATCATTTGTTCAACGAATTATTAATAAATGCAACATTGCAAGCCTTTACAGAAGAAACGTGTAAATTACTATGATCTCTTGGAGTATTTTTTGACCATATGCTATATTGTGATCACCACTACCAATTATTATTTGTCCGATGAAATTTTGCCCGAGAATGATAATTCGTTGAGCAAAAAAAGTGAACGTTTTGGTTTCTTCATACGTTTTTGCCTGACAATTAGAGTTTGACAGGCAAAGCTTTTGTTGTCGGGTAAAGTTTTTATCCCAAGGCAAAACCTTGGCGAGTAAAATGGAAACCTGTTTTAGGGTTAAAGTTTTTTTATTTTCAACATTTGAAGTTTCTTTTTTGTCTCAGTCTAGTACCTAAAGTCATAATTCAGGAACACTTTCATACATCTGTTAATCTGGAACAAAACTAGAAATAAAGAATTTGTAATCATTCTTCCTTTGTTTTTGAATATTTTTATTAAAGAATATGTAATTAGATCTTAAACTGAAATAAACTGAAATTTTAAATTAAAAAACGCATGTAACAGGAGGCTAGTATTGTTTAAATCAGTATAATTACTGTCTTACTTTTGATTTATATAAATGTGGTTTATTGTAGGTAAGTATAAAAAATTAAAAATGAAAATATGATTGGTATTTTCAAAAAGAGGTTAACAGACCCTCCTCTCATTTAGTTATATTAGCATTTGCCTACACATTTTTTAAGAAAATGAGAAGGAGAGGGGGAGAGAGAGAATATGGGGGGGAGTGGAAGGTTTTTGTTTTTGGGGTTTTTTATTTTTTTTATTTTTATTTTTTCAATATTGAAGGTATTTTAACATCACCTGTAAGTGAGGCTTCAATAAAAAACAGTAAAATTTGGACTTGTAAAATTATATTATTGCCCGTCATTTTTTTGGCCCTACTTCTAAGGATATATAGAAAAGGTTGGAGAGAGTTACTTTAACCGCCTGAAATTCTCTTTATGATAGAAGACTAGTATTTTCACCCTCTTTTAATTGATAAAGAGGATTTGAATAATTAATAGAGATATATAAATTAGAAATGAGTGCCTAGTGTTAGAAGGCGACATGGACCTTAGGTTTTTTTTTTTTTTTTTTTTTTGTTTAAAACTCTTCAAAAGTTTTCTTTTTTTAATGAAATTGGATAAAAAGGAGTATTAATTTAGAGAAATTTGAAAAACTAGGTTTGATGGATCCATTAAACACTGTCAGAGCAAAGCCCATAAAGGTATGCACCATCTTCCTATGCACCCAAGAAGGCCCAGCCCATAAAGATATGCACCATCTTGCTATGCACCCTAGAAGGCCCGGCCCAAATTATTCATTCAGTTTCAAGGAGCCCAAAGTAGTTGCGGGGTTGAAAGTTATGAATTGTAATGTGGGCAACCCAAACACGCAGAGCACGTTCCCAATGAGTGTTTATATTTTTATCCAATTAATTTCATACATGAAATTTGAACTCAATATCTTCTGTAACAATATGTAAGCTTATCGTCAACAAGCCTAATGATCGTTGACACATATTAACTGAGCTTGACCTTATTTTGTGGCAATTAATACGTACTTGTTACCTCAATTATTAGAATCAGTTATAATTACATGACAAGTAACGAATTAGTAAGAAAAAAAAAATTTGGTTTATTTCTAATCTTTACATCAATTCATCCATCTATGCAAAGTTTTGCATTCCATTGCCCACCTCTCAATATCACTTATAATCAGTGTTTAAAATATCCACAAAATTATCGATATTGATTATTTCCATCAAAATATTCGTAAAATCAAGGAGCTATATCAGCGAGATATAGGAAAATAAATTAATATTGATGATAGCTACCGATTCAATACAAAAATTTTGCAGGAATCTATTGCAGATTTTGAACTTTTGAATTTCTTGTAGAAAGTTTTCTTTGATTTCGACCAAATTTGAATGAGCTGATACCTACCCCATTGAAAAATTTCATAATATTCGTCAAAAACATCCTATTTCAATATATCTATTGATATTTCTATAAATTTTCGTAACGATATTTCCACCTGTATCGATATTTTAAACATTGCTTATAACAAAACACAAAAAATCCTATTTGGTTTGTAAAATAGATTTAACCCATTATTAGCCCATTTAACACAAGTCCATTGAGAGCTTCATCCAAATCCAATTCGGGCCCAACTCCCAGACGTTGCCGAACTTAACTGTTGCATCCACCGCAGTGATCTAGAAACGCTTAGCTGGAAGTCCGAATCTACCACGTCATCCGGCGGTATAAAGTCAAAATACCACACGTGGTCGACACCGTCTGTAACTTTCCTATTTTCTCCAAAACAATGCTCACAACTCTACATAATTACATCACTACTCGCTCGTAGATATTGCCACGTGTCCGATTCCGAATTTCTAGAAGACTTTTAGCCAATGAAAGGCGAGTGTGAGTTGTTATTCTACTCGCGAGAGTGAGCTATGATTGCATTCTGAATAATTGCGTTTTTTAATGGGCTTCTGGGCTGCGGGGTGTTTAATTAATCAATACGATGTACAGGGTAAGACAAAGCCGTCAGATCTGAACCTTGCGTGTGCGAATTTATTCAATATGTGACCGTTGGATCGTCCAAGTGGGTGATCAACGGCTAAGATTCTTTTTTTAGCGGCGGGCAATGAGGCCTCGCGGGCCTTTAAATATTGGCGTCGAGCGAGAGGGAGAACCCATACATCCAAGGCTTTTAGATCTCAACCCACTCTCTCTTCTGTTTTTTCTTCCTTTCTCTCTCCTCTCTCCCTTTCTCTCTCTACCCGACGAAAAACTTTCTAGGGTTTCTGAGGCGAGCGCCTAAACGGCTCCCGCGACGAGATCCAGGTTTTGAATTGGGGATCCTTCGAAGGAGAATCTAGGGTTTTGTTTGACCAAATGCATTCAATTTGAGCAAGGGGGCTTTAGCTTCCGGTTTTTCCCTAATCATTTGCGGTCTAGGGTTGTCAGCTTTGGGGGTTTATAGAGAGAGAGAGACCCGAGTATAGGTTTTGCTCGTGTAAGTGTTTGAAATCCTTTTATCCTTCCTTGCATTTATTTCTTGAAGGGAGCTTTCGATCTGAGCAATCGGAAAAAAAAAGCTGCTTTCTTTTGGGGTTAGTGGGTCGGATCCGAGTGTTTGAACATTCCCATTTGCTTAGATTTTCAGATTATTGTGGGAAATTGTTTGTTGATTTGCATATTGGCAACTTATACAACTGCGAATTTTGAATTTCGAGCATTTGCTTGGACATCAAATAACCTGAAATTTTTTGGCCTTTGACAACAGAAAATATATAGTACCAACAATTTGGTTAATTGGGAAATTTTGGGTTCTAGGTTTTTTAAACCCGAAGGCGAAAATTTGGACATTTTTGTATTTTGGGGGTCATTGGATTTAACATTGAGGTACTAAACCTAATTGCTACAGGCTACAGCTGATATGTGCAGTAATTGGGAGTGTATCTTATGGCACCAACTGTTCCAATAGAATTCACTGGACAGAAAGAAAGGAAGTGTTTTCTTTCGCAGATGATGGGAAAGTCGCGGAAGTACTCTAAAGGGCAGTTGTCCGGTTTTGTTCCAGATTACCGGCATGCTGTTGAGACCTTGGCTGAATCGGAGGGGTTTGGAAGCTCAGGACGCGTAGACACAGAAATGACAGCTTCGGAGGATTCATGTGGGCCTAAAAGGAAATCCATTAGTTTGAATGTGGATGGTTATGATGGTTATGGGGTGCCAATGCAAGTATTGCCGTTGTCACGGATGTCGCTGTCTGAAAGGAAGGATTTGGGATTGAGGCTGCAATTGGAACTTGAACAGGTACGGGTTCTTCAGAAGAGAATTGCTACTATGAGTTCCAGTGTTGCTGTACTATCCCCATCTAGTGATATTCGGAGTTGCAGTGATGGGAAAAAGAAACCTCCACACGATGGATATCAAACATCATCCGCATTTTCTGCGCCTCAAGGTAAGAGAAAGGCTCCTCCTGGGCGTAATGGTGGCCGCACGAAAAAAAGCATGTCGGGACCTTTGGAGCCATCAAGGCCATTGGCTCCAGCCACCAATTCAAATGCTATGTTGATGAAACAATGCGAACAATTGCTAACCCGCTTAATTAAACATCAGTTTGGTTGGGTTTTTGAGAATCCAGTTGACGTGGTGAAGTTGAACATACCAGATTATTTTACAGTCATTAAGCATCCAATGGATTTGGGCACTGTGAAGAGCAAGTTGAATTCAGGCATGTACTCTTCTCCATTAGAGTTTGCTGCTGATGTGCGGCTTACTTTCTCAAATGCTTTGACTTACAACCCACCTGGAAATGAGTATCACATTATGGCCGAGACCCTCAGTAAATATTTTGAGCAGAGATGGAAAGCCATACAGAAGAAGCTTCCAGGAACAACTGGTATGCAGTCTTTGCCTTCAAGAGCAAGACCGGCTGTTTGTGAAGAAACCAATACTGCCTTCTTGCCACCCTCAAAAAAGAAGAAAAGTACACCTGTTGATACTGCTCTCAGGTCTGAATCTTTTAAATGCATCTTGACTGTTGAGGAGAAGGTTAAACTCACTCAGGAGCTGGATGATTTGCTGGGAGAATTGCCTGAAAATATTGTTAATTTCTTAAAAGAGCATAGCAGTAGTGAAGGGCAAACTGACGAGGATGAGATTGAGATCGACCTTGATGCCCTTAGTGATGATACCTTGTTCGCCTTACGGAAGCTTATGGATGACCATCTTTTGGAGAAACAGAAAAGGCAGGAGAAAGTTGAACCTTGTGAAATGGAGGTATGTTCATCTTTTAATTATATTTTAATATGTGATGCTTTCAATAGTTTCTCAACCCAACTTTTGCATGGATTTCTTATTACCCTTGGTTTCTGCAGATTATTAACGAGTCGGGATTTAGCAACTCATCAATGCAACCCTGCAAAGGTTCATTTGCATTAACAGCTCTGAATTTTTAAATGTTACTGTTCAAAAAAACTTCTTGCGCAAACTTATTTCTAACAGTGGAAATGGCATCACATTATGTACTCAGGCAATGATCCAGTTGATGAGGATGTGGATATCCTTGGTGGGAATGACGCTCCTGTTTCAAGCTTTCCTCCAGTAGAGATAGAGAAAGATGCAGCTCACAGAAACAGTAAATGCAGTAGCGCAAGTAGCTCCAGCAGTGATTCAGGCTCTTCATCTAGTGGTTTGTCTTTCTCCGCACTTCTCATAAATGTGGTTTAGTTGTTTTCAATGTTCTGATTGTGGAGTTTGTTGGTCTTAGGATCTTCTTGCATTCTTTTAAAGTTGCGTTGATGGGAACATTGTTACTGTACTAAATACCGTCTGTCTCTTTCTCTCACTCTTATACTCACACACACATGATGTTTGTTGTGCAGTGTGAGACTAACATTGCAATCTGTGATTGTTATCGCATCTCACTTGACCATTGAATAGGTTGCAGTCTGATCGTTATCACTGTCTTCCTAAACCAAGAAAGTAGTTTCGACTGTCTTTAGCTATCCTGCTTCCTTGAATGGTTTGTTTTGCCTTGCCATAGTGATCTATGGAACATGGTTAAGGAAAAATGGTATCTGAGTGCTCCTATTCCCAACCATCTTTTATCCATATCTTATGAATATGTGGTTGGGAAATAGGACATGTGGGTGGATTGGTAGCACTCCTGATATATAGTGAGAGTTAGTACTAAGGTAAAAAAATGAAAACACAAATAAAATTAAGTTCTTATGTATTTGTGATTTAACCATACTACATTCATCGCATTTGAAATGCTGGTTTCTTGTTTTGTAGTTTGTTAGAATTATGTCCACTTTAAAAAGGTTTGTAGTTTGTTAGAACTATGTCCACTTTAAAATGGAAACAAGGGTAACCGAAGTTATATCCTTCTAGTTAAGAAATAGGTGTTTCGCTCTTTGAGTGTATAGTTGACTTCATTTAGTGACCGGGGCTTCATGGAAAAGTCTTGATAGCGATAATAAATGTGTTGTTGGAGATATTTGATTAAGCTGTCTGAATAATTTTATGATATGGTCCTCTGGATAGAGAAATTAGTATGTTTACAATATAAAAGTGTCTTTTAAACTGAAAACATGTATATGTTAAAAGTTTACAATGATGCTAAACTCAAATTCAGGGCAATATGGTATATCATGGGGTGGATTTGTTGTAACCTCATTAGTTTCACCTGTTAGTTTATATCTTCAATTCAGTGATACTATAATTTGAAGCGTACAAAAAAGTTTGTATTTGAGGACTTTTCCATTTTTAACTTTTTTGCGATTTTAAAATAAATGTTCACATAAGCATGCATGCACATTCACTCAATGTTCAAAGCTACAAATACAAGATATGAGTTGCTTTACAAGACTTACGATATTTATGAGGTATGAATCAAAATATATTGTTTTACTGGTGATCTTCCTAGCTGGCCTTGTTTTGATGAGCCACAGGAGTGACTTCAGGAACATTTGTCTAGCCTCCTATGAAACTATAAGATGCTTTGTGTTATCACAATGTTTCCATAGGTTCCAGCATATTATTCCAAATATAAATCATCCCCATTCCTACAACTTCGGGTGTTTGTTGCTGACAAGATAGAATTTCTTCACAGATTCTGATTCTGGCAGTTCTTCAGAAAGTGAATCTGATGATGCTAAAGCTCCAGATTCTTTTGGTGGAGGAAAGGTATACTGTAATATTTTTAAATGTGTTGGTAAACTGGTTCTTCTGCCTTGGATATTTATTGTAATATATGTGACTTTACTAAGCATTTAGTTAGTATGGTACTCCGTCACTTCCCCATTCTCTACTGTTTGTTTGTGAGCTGTGGAAAAATTTCTGACATCTTCATTTGGCAGGAAAATCTAGGTACTGGAGCAAATTCAGACCAAAAGAGAAGCGATATTGGGGATTCAGAAATTCAAAATAGTGAGTTGTGGATTTATGTTGCATTTTTTCTATTATTGAAATAGGTAGTTAAGGAGTTCTCTAAAAGCAGTTGTCATGAATTTTGTGTAGATTCAATAAATGGGGTGGGCCCACAACTAGAGCAGGACACCCCGTCTAAATTAAACCCTGTTGAGGAGGCTGGACATAGAGAGGGTAAGCATGAATAATCGTCAAGAAAACTTTTCTGCTCGTAATTTTGGGGTACCATCTTACAAGTCATGCTGTAACATCGTAGGGGAGAGTGCTCCAACTGAGAGGCAAGTCTCCCCCGATAAGCTCTACCGTGCAGCTTTATTGAGGAATAGATTTGCTGACACAATACTAAAAGCCCGAGAGAAGGCACTAGAAAAGGTTGGTTTCCATTTTCCACGCTGGGTGCATTTTTCCTTGATGTATGCATCCAAAATTTTGTTTGTGTTATTTTCATTTGAGATGCGGTCAGTTCTCATCTAATATTTACGGTTCAGGGTGAAAAGCTGGATCCCGAGAAATTGCGAATTGAAAGAGAGGAACTTGAAAAGCGGCAAAAAGAAGGTCTGGCTTTCAAAACTTTAGTTATCTTATCTGAGATTAGGTCTGCATTTCGTGCACCAGAAATCAAGGTGGTCAACAGTTTTGCAATTGTTTTAAATATTCAATTTTACTTTGTGCATCATTAGAGAAAGCACGCTTACAAGCTGAAGCCAAAGCCGCAGAAGAGGCTCGAAAGAAGGCTGAAGCCGAAGCTGCAGCCGAAGCGAAAAGGCAGAGGGAACTAGAAAGAGAAGCCGCACGTCAGGCACTGCAAATGGTAAGAATATCATTATGTTGGTGGAAGAATTGTACAAATCTTCTCTTAATTAAACTGCTGCTGATAATTGGGTTTGTGCAGATGGAAAGGACTGTTGAAATTAATGAGAATAGTCAGTTTCTAGAAGATCTAGAAATGTTTCGGGCAGTTGTTGATGAACATGTGCCAATTTTCACGGAGGAGACCACCCTGGAGCATATTCAGGATGAGCTTGCCCGGCTTGGTAGTTTTAAACTACAGGGAAGTAGTAATCCCTTGGAGCAACTTGGTTTGTTCATGAAGACAGACGATGATATAGAAGAAGAAATTGAACCTCCCCAGAGTGCCCCAGAACCAGAACCTGAACCTGAACCTGAACCGGAAAGGGAACCAGAACCAGAACCATCAAATGATGTTGAAGCAAAAGATGTTGAAGAAGGACAGATCGATTGATCTGTTTTTCTCTTCACGTTATTGTACCAACCGAGGAACAGAAAAATGGAGGTTCTGAGGCGCTGTGTGGCAGTGACTTGGGATGCTTTTATTTGGATTTGTTGGCCACAGTATCATCTCTTTCCTGAAAGGGGGAAGAAGATCGACTTAGCTGGAGAACAATTGCCAGCAACACAAATTGAGTTCTGGGTTTCGGGTTTTCCAGCTTGTGTTATGTGAAATGATTTTCTTTTCTTCATACATTCTCCAAGGGAAATGAAGGGTGGAATTCGAACATAACACGATTCGATCCAAATTTACCCATAGCTGGGGATGTATAAATCAGGGGAAATCCAAATTTTTGTGTGTAAAAAGAAAAGTTTAATTTTTGGGTAGAAGGATCGGCTTAGAATTGTAAAATATCATTCTCCTCGGACCATTTTGGCATTCTCCCCCTTTTTTACTGGGGAAAAAAGATGTCTTGTTTTGTTGGGAATTTTTAGGAAGGAAATGGCAGATTTGGATTTTAGAAATGGGTTGGAAGATTTTGGTTTCGTTTTTTCTCTTCTTTCATCCATGTATTTTGGCATCCTACCTGTATTTCTAAAATCTATTAAGCCGCCACCCCCGTTACGTTCATCTCCACCATCACTCCCGCCGCCATTGCTGCCACCGTCGCTTCCACTTTACCTCTTTTCGCCCGGTTTCTAGCATCTCAAATGTTGACGCTGGGGGCAGTGATCGCCGCCACCTCCGCCTCCACCGCAATGTTGAACACGGTACTAAAATAGAAATCGAAAATCAGATCTGAAAGCTACTTTCTCGAATTGTCTAAACATGGGTTTAATTTGATTTTCGGTCAGTTTTCGTTAAGTGCTGTTTATATTTAATTTTAAATTTTAAAATTTAAATGATTTCTGACAGTACGATGAACGAACACGATCATGGAATCCCCAGTTTTCCTTGCAGTTTAACACAAAAAGTTGGAAAGTGAAATAGTTGTCAAACAACTCTCACTTCAATACATTTGGCGTGTTTACGTAATGGTAATGAAAATAGAAGGAATTGAATTAAGGAGGAGTTGGAATAAGGAGAAGTCATAATTGGATTCTTGTTGAAGTTGTTTACTTAAATGTTCTGGAATCGGAATAGAATTCCATAAAAGCTATTTACTAATTCAGTAGAATCGGAATATAAACCAGTATGATTACTAAAATGCTCTTGTCCCAAATCAAATATTTTATATACTTTAATGGGTTTATAAAGAATATTCTTAGAAATAAAAAAAGTACATGAGGGCATAAAGGGAACAAAAGCATCATTTCGATTGCCCAAACACGCAGGAATTGGATTACCACCATCTATATCTAGGAAATCCAATTCCATCAATACAAGGAATTGAATTCCAAAATTTGTGTGGGCTCCATTACTTTTTTTATTCCTTCATGTTTAGTAAACACCGAAGTACTACGTAATCGGAATTCAATTTCATATTTTCATATCGATTACGGATCCGTAAACATGCCATTAAGTCAGTCAGTTTAAGTTCGATAATTCTCTTCCGTTAGAAGAAATAAAAACGACGTCGTCTTCAGGTACGCATTGCTCACTCCTCTCTCTCTCCCTCTCTCTCTCTCTCTGAAGTCTGAACTCCGATTGATTCAATCTTCTGGCGACCATACTCGCCTCTCCTTCTTCTTTCGCGCCAGCCATTGTCCGACTCTCAATGGCGGCCTCGATCGCATTCAACAGCGTCGGAGCTCCGGCGCGACTCTCCCGCCAATTCTCCCACCCGCGAAGCTCCTATCCGCGTCTCGGCGGGCTCCGACTGCGCCACGCCTCTCCGGCCATGTTTTCGAGCTCCTTGTCTTTCTCCTCTGGCTCTGGTACTCCAATCTCATTTTCATGTTATTGTGATTGAAGTTTGTATCGGAACAATTTGGCGATGTTTTAACGGACATGTGATGAAATTGCAGGAATTAGGGCACAGGTGGCGGACGTTGAGCAGTCTAGCGCTGCTGTGTCTCAGAATCCGAAGGTGGAGGCTCCGGTGGTTATCGTCACCGGAGCTTCTAGAGGAATCGGCAAGGCGGTTGCTCTCGCCCTCGGCAAGTCTGGTTGTAAGGTCTCTCATCATCTTTACCGTTCATCATTATCATCATCGTTCATCATATAACCATTCATCATCATGATCGTGATCATATTCATCGTTCATAATCGACATTTCAATGATTACAGGTGTTGGTAAACTACGCAAGATCATCCAAGGAAGCTGAACAAGTTTCTAAGGAGGTATGGTGCCTTTGTAAATGCCTGTATTCGTAATTTCATACTATGTTTTATGACTCAAGTAGGTGTAGAGAACACTTCGTACTTGAAATGTGTGATTGAATGTCAGCAATTTTAGCAACTTTATGACTTGATTATATACCGATTGCTGACTGCTTCGTAGTTGAAATGTTTGGTTAAGGGTCGCATTGTTAACAAATTTTATGGTGGTTTAATTAAATGCTGTAGATTGAGGCATCTGGTGGTCAAGCTCTAACATTTGGGGGTGATGTTTCAAAGGAAGAAGATGTCACAACAATGATTAAGACCGTAAGTTAATGTGCTCTTTTTTGGGCAAGCTACGTGTTTTTTGGTTGAAGTTACTTCTTGCAACATGATGTCATTTGAATCAAATGAATATAGGTGGTTGATGCGTGGGGAACGGTTGATGTCTTGGTAAATAATGCAGGTTAGTCAGCTTCACTTTGCTTGCTGTATTTTAGAGTCCATGTCTCGTCTTTCCTTTTGATTTCAACTGACTGGTCTACGATCCTTTTCAGGAATTACACGGGATGGCTTATTGATGAGAATGAAAAAATCCCAATGGCAGGAGGTTATTGATTTGAATCTTACTGGTGTGTTTCTATGCACACAGGTGAGTGTTCGGGGGAATTTGTTTATCCAGTAATTCTAGTTGTTCAAGCTTACATTTGTCTGATTTCTGAGCAAGGTTATTTGTGCTTTCTGCAGGCTGCGGCAAAAATTATGATGAAACAGAGAAAGGTAAGCACGTACGTTCTTCCCTTCTTGTGTCGTTTCAATTTGAAAAATCCTATTTGCTTTTAGATCCACTTAGTTATTCATCATATTGCAGGGAAGGATAATCAATATAGCATCTGTTGTTGGTCTTGTTGGCAATGTTGGACAAGCCAACTACAGTGCTGCAAAGGCTGGAGTCATTGGCTTCACGAAGAGTGTTGCAAAGGAATATTCGAGCAGGAACATTAATGTATGTCAGTGGTTATGCAGTTCAATCTTCAAGACGTTAAACATGCAAGCAGATAGATTTTAAATTTCTGTCATATTGCAGTCTTACACTTTGGGCCCGAAAGAATTTCTGTCTAAATCTTTCTTTTCTCCTAGGTCAATGCTGTTGCCCCTGGTTTTATCGCATCTGATATGACTTCCAAGCTTGGAGAAGACATAGAAAAGAAGATCTTGGGGAGCATCCCCTTAGGTGAGAACACAATCAGTTGGCTACCAGTTATTTAAGCATTAATATAAAACTTAAATTACTCGTCATTTAGATAAGAGAGAAATTTCATTGATTCATGGGACAGATGATTGAAATTTGATTGACTCTTCTTCCCTTGTTCAGCTAATCTTAAATTCTTAATTTTGAAGATTATGACATAAATTAGATGAATTACGTATCAATTCTACGATTCTTTCAGGGCGATATGGTCAGCCTGAAGAAGTGGCTGGACTGGTGGAATTCTTGGCACTTAATCCCGCTGCCAGCTACATTACTGGACAGGTAATGTTTTCTTTAAGATCTGGTACTTTTCCTTGGACGGATACGAAAAGGGCACATTATTGATCTAGTTTTTCTGCTCGTCCGTTGTAGGTCTTAACCATCGATGGAGGGATGGTGATGTGAGAGGCTGGGTCCGGGTCCGGCACCCCTACGAGCTTCGTCTTACTGAAAGTTTCAGAGGCTTTTCTTTACCTTCCAATCTTGGCGGCTACTAGTTTCAACGAGGAATTGAATAGAAAAGTAGAAAGGATTTTGCTACTTAATATTTTTAACGAAGATTGTTTTCGCTGATCACTCTTTGTACGTGTAGTGTTTTCCATCCAAATCGCGTAAAGAGTTAGTAAAATTTGTGGTTCATAACATAGTGAAGCTTCTGTTATTTCTTCCCCTAGTCGTTTACATTCTCCTTTAATTTTACATTCTGGGTCGTAGGAAATGAACAGATATGGATGGTCGTCCCTAATTCCTCGAGAGAAAGAGAAGCTATATCTATGCTGGCTCCTAGCAACAAAAATGGGACTCACCGTGCGTAAATCTTCTGCTCCTCACTTTTCTACCAACTGCTGTACGGATAACTTCGTTCCATCTGAGCCATCTTAGAGCCTTAATCCTCGAACATGCCTTCATCCGATATGCTTGCAGACTCAGTCCCGTTAACAAGAGGCTGGTCCGACAAATCAACATTGGAGTCGTGTAAGAAGCTGAAATCAAAGTCATCGTCGTCATCATCTTCATCATCGTCATTTAAGCTCGTCTCTTCTTCTTCGATTTGTCTTGGTTTTATACCCTTGGCTTCTCTTTCCATCCGTTGCTTGATGCAATCGTCATACGACATTTCATACCAAACATTGCTCTTTCCCACAATTGCTTTGTTATGAGCATCCGTCAGCCGCTCTTGCTTGCTCTTCTCTGAGTTCTTTGGTTCTCCCCAGTAGTCGTACCGATACAGGGGGTTTTGCGGGTCATATTGATCCTTCCCAAAGTAACTGGATTCCACAAACCTTCCCGGCTCTTCAAGTGGTAAACCAAGAGCTTTACGGCTGCACAGCAAGTCACACAGTTATTGCTTAGTTTCAGGATAAGCAATACAAATTAGCCACAGCCCAGTAGGAAGTGAATATGATGCATAGTCAACGACATTGCGGGATTACCACTTTAATGTTTAATTGCATTGGTGATATTATGGATTAAAAACCAGACTCTACATTTCTACAAAAAGTACAAAAATATAACACTGATGGCCATACCAGCTTATGTCTCTGATCAACGCTTCTCTTTCCTCGAAGGATCGGCGCCAATGTAGAAAGTCATACTCATCCATTTCATCATTCCGCCTCATATTGGTAACTTTGTATTCCTCTCCTCTCTCTTCCGCTTCCTTCTTTACTGCATTACGTAGCTGCAGGCAAACATAAAAGAACAAATAAATAAAGTGTGAGTGTTCTTTTCCTCAGCCAACTTATATATCGCAAAGCAAAAAGAAACGCAACAGTCAATATAGTGCTTTGAGCAAATGTAATACTCAAGAATATGAATCTAACAGGCAACGGAACAGCTGACCTGGCGCTCAGCAAATGCAGCCTCCAAATCAAGTTCTTTAACGCTAGTTTTCTGCGTACAAAAATGAAGAACAATCAGTAAATGTCATATCATATATTCATAGAACACACTGCAATGTAACTGGAGAATCATTTACCAGAATCACTTTCGGTATTACAGTTTTCTTGTACTGGGCTGTTGTATATTCAACATTGTTTTTTTCATCGTAATCTTCAGGATCAGATAACTCTGACAGTTTTTTGCCTTTGTATTTATCAGGATTAGCCTCCAAATCATTCAAAATCATTTGCTCAGCAACATGTATCTGCCACAACTGCATCAAGACAATAACGCTAGTCAATGAGTAGCATGATGGTGATAGTGAAAGGTCAATTTTGATTTGAAGGACTCAAGACAAACAAAGAATATCCATATACATAAACAAAGAGTATGGCATTTTAGATATAACATAACAACATTTCAGATACTAAAGATTTACCTTATCAACATAAGGGTGATTCGACAATAAAGGTTCCTCTACTGGATTGTCTTTCGGATCCTTCCTGGGGATAGGAGGCCTTCCACAATCACGCTGAAAAGTGAAACAGACCGGAGCAAAAGCATAAGCATGTGCTGATATTAAATACTATGACTAAATGCTTCATAGAGCACTGAACTGTATGAAATGACTGAAGGTAAAAAAACTAAAGATGTGATTGAAATTGTGAAACTGTGGATCCCCAGTTGCAACAATAAGCTAATGATAGGCATAATAACAGGGGCCAGGGGAGAGGTGGAAAAAATGAAACTTAAAGGAAAATCACACACCCGCAATTCATCTGGATTAGTATCTTCATCACGATGAAATATTGGCGAAAAGTCAAATCTGTTAAATCTGGAAAAGTGGACGGAAATATGAGATATCAAAAAGCAAAACAGCCTGAACAGAATTTAAACCTAGGAGCATACTTAATCAAACGAAGGGGAGGACTGAAAGTCTGTTAGTAGAAGTACATACATCAGGTGGTCTATATTTGGATAAACAAAACGCATTTCAATGGGAAATCGGAAGCGGTAAGGATCTCTCTTTGCCTGCAAAAGAGAAATTTAGTGAGAGAAAAGATCCACAAGAAATATGATAGAAAGTAAACAAACAATAGAAAGAAACTGAAGCACAGAACTCACCAGGATTTCAACAATGACAGGCATACCAACTTTTATGTGATGTCGGATCCAGTACCAATCATTATTTTTAATCGGGACCCACCTGGCAAGACATCAACACACATGAACGCAATGAACAAAAAACGTTCAGTGACAAAAATACTTTCAGTAACTCTAACAGGAAGCATAGGGATCGATAATCACCCATCATGTACACCTCCAATGTCGACAAATGCTCCTTGATATAGAGCGACGGCTGTCACTTTCCCTTCACAAATCTGCAATACACATTTTCCATTGTATCATCAACCATTATATTTCTTGCTACCAAAGACACTTCATTTACAGTTCTTTTGAGAATTCTCAACAAACGAATCTAATAATGAAAGTGCCATACAACATAGCATGTTCTGTGTAACCGTAACATAATCATGCTGCGAGGATGACCATCTCAAGTTCTTAGCATTCTTTGGTGAGATTTAAAAGTTCATTTCCAGAATCACAACAAATAAAGTCAAAACAATATTCATAACAACTTACTTGTCCGGGATAATAAAATGGAAGTTCATACTGCACAGAAAAATGAAGACCATGTCAGAAAATTTGGGTAATTCAGAGCCAGGGCTGACAGGGCGGGAGATACAATAAAAAATTAAAATCCATCATACCATGCCCTCTTTGTAGTCCTTGCCTCTCTTCCTCCTACCGGGATGGTAATCTTGGTCATACTGTATGTCATAAAAAATGCAGAATTTATGGCCAAATTCAACTAATTAGTAAATATCGAACTTAGTTCAATTTATTCAATCCAACTATTATCCTTTTTTCACCCAAATTTCCAAACGTTATACTCAAATCAAATGTGCTTGAAACCAAGTCAGAATTAGCCAATAGACGAGCTAATAATGCAAAAGGGAAACAAATTAACAATACCAAATTAACCAAAAAAACACACAAAGATTAAACAAAAAAGGGTTTAATCTTTGCAGACCTTATAGGATTCCTCTTCCAATCGATCCTTATTCGCAGCGACCCACTCCTTATACTGCTTCAAGAACACCTTATACCTATCCAAACACAAATCATCAGTCTCCATCGTCGCAGTCGTCTTGTTACTCTCCAATTCATCTAATCGCACCCTCACCGCCTGCAACTTATGCGCCTCCCTTATATACTCCAGCTCCTTCTTATCCACCTCCCACCCCCTCGGCGGCCAATCCCTCGGAGGAATCAGTCTGACGACCAGCGGAGCCGCCCAAACCGTCTTCAACGGCTCCGGTATATCTCCTTTGATTTTAAACTGTTCGCGGTAGTAGTCGTCTTCCGTCAGGCCCATTTCCTCCATTTTCTTCTTCCGGTAACTGGGTCGGAGCATCCTGAAGGCTTCAATCGCCTCCGGGGACTGAAGAGCCACTTCCTCGCCCTCGTTCAAGCTTTTTCGCGCGAAATCGGCCTCCGGCGAGAGTATCTCCTCCCAGGGGGCCCAGCCGCGCTCGACCCAGTTGCGCTTCCGGGCCTCGTCTTCGGTTTCTTTGTCTTTGGGGCCGAAGTTCTCGAGGAAGGTCTCGTCGACGGGGAACTCGTCGGTGCTGAAGGCCTTGGACTTGAAGAGAAGGGGACGCCATGGAAGGTGGTGATTTTGGTGGTGGTGGAGGTGCTTGGGGTGGGGATTGGAGAATTTAGGGTATAGGGTTTTAGGGAAGGTGAAGAACTGGTGAGGGGTTTGGAGGACCTGCATTGCTGTGAGGGTGAGAGCGACCGAGAAGGGAGTGCATGTGAGAGTGTAGCAGCTCGGAGTGAGAGTCGTGTTTTATTTTTGGATTTTGGCGAGTGGATAAGGCAATTACCTTTTATTTTTTGAGAAACCAAATAATTTTTTTAAATGAAAACATATTACAAGTTACAACAATCATAACCTTAAACCCGATCAAGCAGAATGACGCAACTGCCGCAACCACTTTGCCGACAGCTACAAGAGCAGCTGCACTAAGAAATCCAACTCCACGTTAATTTTGACTAAAATATCGTAGCACAAAACTTTTCAACCTACAACAATAAATTATCCTCAACCAAATTTAACCACCAAAGTTACGCCCCGTAAATGAGCCTCTAGATCTAAATCATGATCACATGCCCCTACAAGTAGATCCAAAAACCAAAACAAAAGGGAAGGAGATGGGGCTAAGTGGCATCTAAAACACCCTCGCTTTGGGGAAAGCCACAACGCGATTGGTCCGGATTTTTTTCGCATGCCGGTCGGGTGCTGACCCGTGAAGGGATATAGAAGCGAGGGCCAAAGCAAATGGGACGCAATTGGCTTTGAGTAAAGGATGATGAAGGGAATGGAATGTGAGAATGAGAAGCAAATGAACAAGATGGAAGAGAAAGGGTGTTGGGGGTTGAGGGAGGGTGGTTGTAGGCTGGGGGTTAGAAATGTCAAGGGCAAAATACGGTGAAGAACACGGGGAAGCGGCAGAGGACACCGGAAATAAAAGTCGTGACCTCACAATCTGACAACCATATGTAGCATAAATACTAAAGAGGAGAAGGAAAAAGAGGAAGAGCAAGGGGGTTGATGCTTAGCGCCCAAACAAAGGAAGGAGTTGGCGGGAAGAGTAGGGGGTTTTGAGGAGTTCTGTGCGAGAGAGAAGGGAGAAGTGGCTGGAGTTATTTTCGCTCTTCGATAAGAAGAGTTTTAGAGGTGGGCTCATAAATTGAATCATCCTTTCAAATTGTCTTTAAAGATTTATCTTTGAAAAAATAATTCAAATAGGAAGTTCAATCAACAAAATGTGAAATAAAACACAATTAGGGTGTTCCTCTTCAACCCACTGCGTTTCAGGTTTAAATCCTCATTTCCCTTTGGTGTAGATTAGCGTTGAACATCACTTGAATTAAAAAAAATTGTAAAATAAAGCACTGTCCGTTATATATTCTTCCAATATGCAATAACTTTTCTCAATGAATAAGCATTGGCTAAAACATTTTTTGGTTTTGCTGATTTTTTGCATGAATAATCTTAGAAAATGCAACCTAAAACTAAACAATTATGATCATAAGTTATACCTCAAAAGGTGATGCAGGGCCTAGACGATACTCAGATGAAGCCCTACCAAAAGTTAGAACAAATAAAACAAAGCCGAAACAAAGAGATCAACTTAAATAAAACGAGTTCACGAGCACATGGAGTCGATCCAAGAATACAATGCAGTGTGTTTTCAACCTTACAATGCAATGCAAGGGATGAGGTAGTGGAACTTGTTTCCCAAGCATTTGAGCCCTATAAAAAGGGAGAGGAGTCAGAGAACAAGGTATGCGATCAAAACCCATTGACTAGAGAATACAGATTCAATTAACTGACTTGAGTGTCGGAGTACCTTTTGTAGGTACCCCTCACTATAACGAAGTTTTGGAAAAAATGACATTCACGAACGCTTCTTGACAAGGGATTCAATGAACGGGCGGACAATCAAAAAATTTGTGGAGTTATTTCTTCGTGTAAGAAATCTCACACCGACAAGTTCATTTCATATACCTTTTTGATAGGTATTTTGTAGTTTCTTTATTTGTTCGAAATATGTTATGTGTGCAGGTTACAAATGCACGAAGGCTCCATTTTTGAAATTTCAAAAGAACCTTAGAAACAACAAATAATTCCTTTTAAAAAACCGATTAAGATCATACAAATTTAAATCATAAGGACAATATTAGAAATGAAAATTAATATTTAGAAAGAAAAAGCTGGCTCATTAAGACAAATGTAAAGTATTCGGACCTATTTCAGTAAATAACAAAAAAAAAAAGACTATTCCTAATAAGAGCACACAAAATTGGACTTACAACTAGTTTCCTTTTTTTTTCTGCTACCTCAATCACAGATTAATTGTGTTAACTAATCTATGTTGTAGGTAATATATATATCAACATATATACTAGTATGAATTAATAAATGTATGGAAGACGAATTCCTTTTAAACTGGGTAGAATAATTTTTATCTATTCTCGTAGATACATCTATCATAGGTTAAATGTATTTTATCAATTTTTTTTTCCTTTTAAACTAGGTAGATTAATTTTTATCTATTCTTGTAGATACCTCTATTGTAGGTTAAATGTATTTATCAACTTTTTTTTTTTTTTTTAGTACATCGATATTTGTATACTAAGGGGAGGGAGAGTTCCGTTAAACCACACAATGGGTAGTCTAATTTGGTATCGAATTCACCATTCACGAGATTCGAACCTAAGACCCTTACTTCCAAGTGAAGATGAATACTACCAGACCATAGTAATGAGTTGATGTATTTTATCAACTTATGGTATATGTATGATATATGATGACATAGAATTTTTTTTTTACCTATTTTCCATGAAAGTGCTTAGATTTTCGTATATAAATATTTAAATTAAAATTTTGAGTAAAAAAAATTTAATTAAAGTTGAAAAATAGGAAAACTGTATTAAATCCAACAGTGTCCCAAGAAAAAATTGACGTACGAATTAGGTGCAGCAAAAAAAGACAAACAATATTTAATTCTTATATTTAATCTTAAAATTGAGCAAAAAATAAGTTACAATTTATAAAAGAAAATTAAAAAAAAAAACCGATGTTGATAATTAGTGTATGAAACTAATCCAAAAAAAAAAAAAAAAAAAAAACTATGCAGTAACAACTCGTAAAATTAGACTTATATCAAATTTATTATTTTTGAATTATTGTGACATCCCACATCGTCCAGGGGAGTGATCCTTATATGTATATTCCCATCCCTACCTAGCACGAGGCATTTTGGGAGCTCACTGGCTTCGGGTTCCGTAGGAACTCTGAAGTTAAGCGAGAAGAGGGCTAGAGCAATCCCATGATGGATGACCCACTGGAAAGTTGCTCGTGAGTTCCCAAAAACAAAACTGTGAGGGAATGGTAAGCCTAAAGCAGACAATATCGTGCTACGGTGATGGAGCGGGTCCAGGAAGTGATCCGCCCCGAGCCGGGATGTGACAATTATAATAATTATCTTTCCCATATGAAAATAAATATGCCATAAGATTGCAAAACTAAATATTCCAACAAACATAAATAAATAACAAGTGATCATTTATCATAATGGTGGAAAAAGAGTTGAATTTTTGTATAACGGTATGAGTTCGAATTCCGTCGATATCTAATCTAACAAAATCTATCGTTTGTAAAAAAAGTAAAAATAGAAATAAAAAAAATAAAGATTTTGTAAACGAAGTAAAAATATATAAAAAAGTTGAAGAATTCACACACAAATTGACTTCATCAAATAAGTATTCAAAAAATAAATTAAAAAACCAAAAAGCCCGTCGACAAAATATTAAATGATTGGGAAAGTTAATGTCCGGCCCAGCCCACGTGAGTCCGTTAACCCAAAGTCCGTATCGTAACAGCTCCGTCATTCAAATTCTCCCCAATTTTCGATCTATCCGCCAATCTTCCCCTCCATTACACAACCCCCCTTTAAACCTCTCTCTCTCTCTCTCCCCACAAATCACTTTCTCAGCTACCTCGTGAGCTCTCTCTCTCTCCTCTCCTCTCCTCTTCACTCTTTCTCTCTCTACAATCTGATTCCATCGTTTTCTTTGACAGCCTTCAAATTGCTTACCTTCAAACCCTAAGTCTTCACCTTCCATATATGAATCCATCAAATTTGTAAAAATTGATTGAATATTTGCTTTCTTGATTTGTTCGATTCGTACCAGGAATGGCGACCTCGGCGTTCAAATCAACGACGAAGCGGACGCCGATCGGAGCGTCCAAGGCTCCGCCGGAAGACTCGGCTTCGTTTAATCGGAAGGCGTCTCACCGGCGCTCCCGCAGCCTGAGCTGCTTCTCGCGCGGGTTGCCGGAGCGGACACCGGCGGCTGACGATTACGATGATAATCCGGTTCCCAGCAGAGGGAGGTTCGTCAACACGGTCAGAGGCTCGGGATTCCCGGAGATCAGCCTCGACGACCTCGCCGTCGAGCTATTCGACTCCTCTGCTGACCGGAGCCGCTCGGTTGCGCGGAGCACCGAAGCTACTCCTGCTGACAGTGCCTCACTGAGGCGTGGGAGGTCGGTGTCGAGGCACGGCCCGAGAATTGGTGGCGGTGGTGGTGATGTGAGGGGCGGTACTGGTAATAATTCAGCTGGAGGAAGGGTAGTTTCGGAAAGTAAGGGTAATTCAAGCCGAAGGCGATCGGTTTCGGTTGCCCGGTATCAGATGAGCGATTCTGAGGTGAGAACTGTTGTGCTTATGCTTTTAGTTTCCCGTTGAATTTTGATTTAATGCACATTGTAAAACGTTTAGATACTATTGCTTTATGGCCTTATTTTTTATACTAGTGCAAATTTGAATTAAAGCTACAATTAGAGTGTAATTAAAGATTGTTTAGACAGTATAATGCCATTGAACAAGAGAGTATTGGGATGGAAGAAATTGATATAATTTGTTAATCGCGGATTGTTAAATGAGTAAACTGTCGATGTACCCCTAAACTTTCATCTAATTTTCGATTTTCCCTCTGAACTTTTCTATTGGAAAATTAAGGACTCAAACTAATTTTTTTAGCCGATTTGCCCCTACCGTTAGTTTTTTATATATTTCATCTATATTTCTATTAAGTGAGACCATGTGCACAACATGTGAGGGTAGTTAAGTCATTTCACTCTTAAAAATGATTAGAAAACTGAAAATAAATAAAAAAAACAAAACTTTCCGTCTATTTTTTCCCGCTAATTCCTATCCTCAATTTTATTTTCCTCTCTCATTCCTATGCATGAAAAATGACATATGGTGTTATTGTCTTCATAAGTAGCTAAGTTAGTTCATAAGTAGCTAAGTTAGTCTTTTTCTTGAAGCATGTACTACCATTTTTATTTTCTCTAACAAGTTAATAATTTGACAAATGCTCATGGTGTTATTGTCTCCAAAGCAGTGCATTAATATAAGAAACATGTTCATAATACTCATAAAAAATGCTCAAGATAATTACATACTTCAAGAAAAAGACTAAGTTAGCTACCCTCACATGTTCATAATGCTCATAATAAAATTGAGGATAGGAATTAGAGGGCAAAAATAGAGGGAAAGTTTTGTTTTATTTATTTATTTTCAGTTTTTTAATCATTTTTAAGAGTGAAATAACTTAACTACCCTGACATGTTGTGCACATGGTCTCACTTAACAGAAATATGGATGGAATATATGAAAAACTAACGGTAGGGGGCAAATCGGCTAAAAAAATTAGTTTGAATCCTTAATTTTCCAATAGAAAAGTTCGGGGGGGGAATCGAAAGCTAGGTGAAAGTTCTGGGGGTAAATCGACAGTTTACTCTTGTTAAATTAAACGATTCTTGTTAGCTATGTTGGATTAGTGTAATTCTTCCACTCATTTATTTGCGGATCATTTGTTGTATTTTTAATGATAGAGTGATCTAGATCATACCCACAATCGCAGCGCCGTTAAGTCGGGGAACTTCGTTAGTGGAAACAACCAGACACCCTTGTCCCGTAAGTCAACAGATTCAAATTTTAGACCAGCTTTGAGAAGATCTCTTAGCCAGAAAGATTTTAAGTCCCATGATGGTTACTCAGTAAGTCTTAACTTCTTTAACTTTTGGTATTTTCATTTAATGCTGTTTAATGTGTTTTCCAGTCAGAATAGTTCTCAGAAGTGAATTATGTTTTGAGACAATTTCTTTGGGCCTTTCAGAGCCAGTCTTCGGTCCTAACCGATGATGAGGGGAGGGATGCTTATTCCAACAAAAATGGGGTTGAGAAAACTATCCGAGCTGTATATTCAGAGAAGAAGGTCTACTTTTGAACCATTATGTTAGGATAACAACCTCCGTGTAGTTCTTTACATTGGTCGTTTTGTGTTATGATAACCACCTCGGTGTAGCTCTTTTATATTGGTTGTTTATTTTTACCTTCTTGTCACCCTTTAGGCAGAGCACCCTGCTGGTAATGATGTTAAAAGTGGACTTTATGAAGTGATGCGGAAAGAACTTAGACATGCTGTGGAAGAGATCCGGACAGAACTTGAAATTGTATGTATTATAGCGTTCTTTATATCTTTGTTGACATTTGCTTCATCCCTTATGTTCGATTTTAGAGTTTTGTCCTCCTGTCATATGCTTCCTAACCTTGGTTCCTTTTTATCTTATTCAGGCAAACGAGAAAACTAAATCCACTGTTTCAGCACCTGGTGATTTACGTTCTAACAGTAAAGATGTACTTCAGGCTGTTTCTTCGATCAGGAAGAATTACTCCTCCAAATTGGAACAGGTATTCATGTTACTATAAAGGCTTAGTTTAGTTAAGGAAGAGTATGTGGCCTTGATTATATAGATATAAAGGGCAGATCATTGTTGGTTTTTATTGAAGTTGTTAACTGAGGGTGCCGTATGCCATTTGAAAAAAGTTTGGCTACTATTGATCATATTTTTCTTTTTTTTCCATCTATGTGACAGTCAGAAAAACGAAAACAAGATTTATTAGCTGAAATAGTACTGGAGGAACAACATAGTAGGGAGCTCTCTAAGATTGTCAAAGAATTGCTTCCCGAGCCAAATAACATTGTTGCCGCAGACAGATCATCAAGAACCAGAAGGGTACCAATCTGTCTGAAACACTGCAGATTTGCATGTTACTGTGTTTTTCTTGGGATTTTTAATTCTCTTTGTTTTACTTTCTTATCAACTCCTGCTTTTCACTTTCACAGAGGAGTAACGACAGAGGTAGGATGTCTAAGCGACTGACTGAGGAGGCGGAGAGATACATTGAGGACTTCATTTCAAATGTGGAAGACACAGATATATCATCAGTTGACGGAGAAAGGAGCGATACAAGTTCAAGTATAGGAGGAATAACAAAGCACGAAACTTATCTGAGTCCAGCTTTTTCTACTCCTCTTCCTGTCACAATGGATGGGGTTGTTCTACCTTGGTTGCAGTGGGAGACTAGTAATGATGCTACGCCAATAGGATGCAAGAATAAGAACGAACCACAGGTGATAAATGATTAGCTCATCTCGCGATTATAAAGTCTCGCATATGGACAGAGTTGACATGTGCAGTTCTTGTTTGTCGAGCCCATTTTGTCTACTATTGCAGGCTGATGTTCATGATCGTACTATTTTTATCTTCGTTCATGATTTTCTCCTCTCTTATCATCTCAATTTCATTAAATTCATTTCTCAGGGAGTGATAAAAGTGCAAGATCAAAGTAATCAATCTGTTAGCAGCCACGGAAGCTGGAGCCCTGGAATAGTCGACGCCCTGTCAATTAACATGGAAGATGCAGGTAGTAAAGTTGGAGGATATAGAAGCTACCAGTGCCAGTCACCCCTTGATGGGTCAAATGGTTCGCAGTTCGACATGGAAGAGTATCTCCAGCTCAAGAAAAATGACGATTTACTCTTCGAAAGGTTGAAGCAACAACGGAGAATTAGTTCCGGCGGTCTCCTGCTATGTAACCGGATGCTTTTTTAGCACAATTGTTTACTTTCAGGTTGCTTGTCACTCCATAGTAAACCAGTGACACTTTGTATAGATTTTTCATTTTTATCGGCCAAGTGTTTTTAGCTTTGGATTTGATACAAATTTTATGAACCGTCCACGCGATTAGTGTATGCATGTTCTGCATACACTTAAAGCGTCTGAACAGCTGTTCAAATTAAACGAATCTCTAGCGGTTGACAACTCTGATTCCTGAATCCGTGACTAGTGCGAGATGTACACTTGCAACTGACTCAGCTTTGTTACGGATGTTAGGAATAATCGTCCGTGGCTGTCCAAACCGAATCTCCGGCAGAGATCGTGCATCAAATTTAGATCTGATTGCACGAACGCTTGACACGTGTCCCTAGACAATCAGGATCATAGATTATGGGAGAGGAATTTCAGTTACACAATGACTCATTGAATAAAGATACGTTCCAGATTCCACAGCGGGTTTTCTCTTTCTTTTAAATTCTGAATACTTTGTACTGTGGAATACAGTGAAAAATCACAAGGGTATATCAGATTTTTTCTTTCTGATCGAACGGCCGAAATTTCTTCCACATTTTAGTTAAATCGAACCACTATACACAATTTCAATTTAATTAGGATACAAACTCCAAGTAACCAGTCACGTAATCATATTGGATTAGTGACCTAATTATTTAAATTCAATCCGAAAAATTAGATTTATTGTTGTTTACGCATAATCAAGGAGATTTGTGGGATTAACAGTTTTGATTTCCTGCTGAAAAAAAGATGGGAGGAAGTGGAGAAATTAGAGAGGAGGAGCAGCAGAAGGAGGTGCAAGATATCAACGACTGGCTGCCGATCACGAAATCAAGGAACGCCACGTGGTGGTATTCTGCATTCCACAATGTCACCGCCATGGTTGGTGCTGGTGTTCTTGGCCTCCCCTATGCCATGTCTCAACTTGGATGGTAAGCAACCTATACATATATATAGTTTCCGTACTTTCTCACTATCTCTATGGGAAGAAAAAACATAAGCAATCAATGTTTTTATGTGAGGATTTTGTGTTTGTGTTCGGGGACAACGTTGTGTTTAAGTTAAAAGTGAACCGTTATAGGTTTTTTTTTTTTTTTTTAATTTTTGAATTTTTATACAAACAAGGGCGTAGCCAGGAAATTTTGAAAGGGTGGACTCAGTAATTTTTAAAGGGTGGTCGTTGCTTGCTAACATGAATTTTGGGAGACGAATAAGGGAATATTTAAAGAAATCATGAAACGATAGAAATTTAGTACTAAGAATAAAGATCATGAGTGAATAATTCATGGGAATTAATTTTCTTTTTCATCTAAACGATCTATTTACAAGGAGAGAGATTCAAATTTAGGTACAAAAAAAGGTCGGGCACATTGAGCTACTAGGTTATTTGGGGTGAATATCATTAAAATATATTGTAATTTACTTTTTGAAAATGCTACATGAGCTATAGCCCCTTGTATACAAATGATGTGAATGCTCTTAACCGCTTAACCTACAAGCCCTCTTCTAAGTGTTTTACGTTCTAGAAAATATAATCTAATCAATTACTATGTGTTTCTTGTATTAGGGGCCCTGGAGTAGCGGTGCTGGTTCTCTCATGGATAATTACACTCTACACCTTATGGCAGATGGTAGAAATGCATGAAATTGTACCTGGCAAGAGGTTTGATAGGTACCATGAGTTAGGGCAACATGCCTTTGGGGAAAAGCTAGGGCTTTACATTGTGGTGCCCCAACAACTGATGGTGGAACTTGGGACTTGCATAGTGTATATGATTACAGGTGGCAATTCCTTGAAGAAGATTCACAGCACTGTGTGCCCTGACTGTAAGCCTATCAAAACCACCTACTTCATCATGATCTTTGCATCCGTTCACTTTGTTCTCTCCCACCTCCCTAGCCTCAATTCCATTGCTAGTGTTTCTCTTGCTGCTGCTGTCATGTCATTGAGGTATGTACGTATATTTCTTTATTTTATTTTTTAATTATTTTAGAGATCTGCTATTTGCACTCCGAAAAGGTCTATCTGCTCTCCTCCTCGGTGTAAAAAATTGAAGAGGAGAGCAATGCAGAACAACGTTTTCGAAGTGCTTACAACAATTCTGTGTTTAAAAGATATATATCCAACTCTATCTCTTGATGAGAGAGATGGAGAGAAGGGTTTCATGATCCTGTGATAGGGAGAAACCAATGTGTACTCTTAGGTTCAGTTTGGTGTCAAGGATTGGATTGGAACGAATAACTCAGGATAAAATGAATGAATGACTACTCCCAAAACCTTTTCCAAGTTAATGGTAGACGATGGAGTAGTTGTGAAGAAAACTTATCCCCACCTTCTAGTCGTCTCTTTTTTTAGGGGATTGGAAAGGATAAGTTTCGTTCATTACCGATCCATCTTCTAACTTGGACAATTTTTTGAAGTTAGTATCCATTTCTTCTTCCAATGTACATCTAATCTAGTGAGTTATCCATTTTAATCCAATCGTTGTTAAATGCAAAATGAGCCCTTAATGTTAAGGGAACACTAGTTTCAATAAGAAATTCTCTTAATCCATTTAAAGTAAAACTAAAGAATTCAAATTCCATCTGCCTACAAATTAATCTACAAATTCGGTTTGTAAATGTCGTTTTAACTGTGAATACTTGTCCAATTCAACAGCTACTCTACCATTGCTTGGGGAGCTTCTCTGCACAAAGGGGTGGAGCCACAAGTGCAGTATGGTCCCAGGGCTTCAACCGCTGCAGGGAATACGTTCAACTTCTTCAGTGCTCTGGGAGATATAGCTTTTGCTTTTGCTGGCCACAATGTGGTTTTGGAGATTCAAGCAACGATTCCTTCCACGCCCGAAAAGCCGTCCAAAAAACCCATGTGGAAGGGGGTGGTTCTTGCTTACATTGTGGTCGCAATGTGCTATCTCCCTGTTGCTCTCATCGGATACTGGGTGTTTGGAAACCATGTCGAGGATAACATCCTCATATCGTTGGAGAAGCCTGCTTGGCTTATTGTTCTTGCGAATTGCTTTGTTGTTGTTCATGTCATTGGAAGTTATCAGGTACGCTACTATTTTAAATTTATGATCTGCATAAAAATCTGTTGAGTTTCTGTTTTTTCTTGCATAACAAGTTTTTTCAATACATATATGTAGGTCTACGCCATGCCGGTGTTTGACATGGCGGAATTATTTCTGTTGAAGAAGATGAAATTCAAGCCATCTTTGTTCCTTCGCTTCATAACACGTAATGTGATTGTTGGTAAGTAGCATTTTCCTGCTCGTTTATCTAATCTTAAATCTTGGAATGACTTCATATATAAGTCGTTCCATTGTAAGAGATGTGATCAACAATGTAAATAATATCGATACTCTGTATTTCGCCGATGCAGCATTCACCTTGTTCGTTGGGATTACATTCCCCTTCTTTGGCGGGCTTCTCGGTTTCTTTGGAGGATTTGCTTTTGCTCCTACAACATACTATGTAAGGAACCATAAACCTCTAAATCCCAATTCCCATGCAAATTAAAATGTCTAAAATTTCTTTGTTTGATCGTTTTGCAGCTCCCTTGTATCATGTGGCTTGTCATCTGCAAACCAAAGAAGTTTGGCCTTTCCTGGTTTGCAAATTGGGTAAGCTTAGCTCTCAAGGAATCGAAGTTTATTTTTTCCCTTCGTATTCTTTCATTTTTAAACTAACAATTTCGGGCTGCTTGTTGCAATGACAGTTCTGCATCATAGTTGGAGTGTCACTGATGCTTTTAGCTCCGATCGGCGCATTAAGGAATCTCATACTTCAAGCCAAGAACTTCAAATTCTACTCTTGAACATATGCGCCTGGAGATTGAGTTGAGACAAGAAATTGTGTTATTTAAATTTAACTTTCTTTAATAATATTAGGACCTGCTTATTGCTTTGTATAATTCAGTTAGTTTGGTGGATATGCAATTTAATACAGAACCTCTCTTATTGTTAATGGGAAACTCTTCAACAATATTATTTTGAGCTCTATCAATTGTAATTTTTAGATTCAATCTAATTCATTATTTGAAGAGAAAAAAATAATTTTCGACCATCGAATCGAAGGAGGCTGAATATCTACTAAGCTCCTGTCCATGAATCCGAGCTGTGACTGTGAGAGATTGTTTTTTAAAGTTACGAGGCATGCATGCATGTCAAAATTAGGTGTTTTCCTTTGCTTTTGCTCTCTGCATTACATTCATATAATACCAAACATTTTTCTGTATATTCACTTAATTCGCTTTGCATTCAGATTCCACTTTGATGCAATTGCCGTGAAGCCTGAATAATAATCTGGATTTGGTTTTTAATCAATTTTAGCGCTGATAGTCTGAATTGAACCTGAGAGCATGTGAAGCAGCAACATACAAGTTTAATAAAGCAAACAAACTTAGTTTTGATTGGTAGAGTTATATCTGATCTATACCGCAAAGCTTGCGGTCTTTATGTCACGGCAATCACTTGTACAAGCGTGACAAGAAGTCTGATGCGAGTTTCAGGAAGAAAAAGGAGCAGCATTAAATATATATGTTTGTTCTCTGTCTATGCAACTAGTAATGGTCAGCACTCAGTAGGAGAGGAGGAGGATCACAAGAAGCAACCGGAGTGAGTCTAATGAGAATATAACCGGTGAGGAGTATAATTAATCTTAATGCTTACATCCTGAGTTCACAATTCACGTCCATCTAAGTTGATTGGTACCAGAAGTTTCACCATAAAGCTAATTAGTTATATAGGAAGTAGTCACGCTCCTTACAAGTCCTCGTAAATTTCGGTTTGTCATTCTCACAGCTACTGCTCCTTCGACATAATCAATCTATTCAACTCTTTTTTTGAAAACACGCCAGAACATAAAACATTCAAATAGGAATCAAGAGCACATATAGCGGCCGGCTAGTGTATTATTTTGTATCTAATATTCTTTGGATTATATAATTAATAATACTGTATAGACACAGAAAACAATTACACTTGTTTGTTGACAAACTTTCTAATACAAGTTGATACTATCATTGTATATGGAATATTTACATGTATTAGAGAATTGTCAATTCTGTCAGTTTTATATGTCTAAATAACATTATTTAGCAACATAAAAAATAAAAAATAAAAATAAATAAAAAAGAACCAAGACAGATACCTAAAAATTAGGCTTAACCAATCATTGAGTGAGTAGTTTGACAAAGAAAAAAAAATCATAGAGTTAGTAGGGCAACTGAATTTAGTTAACAAGGAGCTAGGGAACAGTCCTAGGAATGAAGGAAAACGAAGACATCCACACTCTCTCGTGGTGACTGATATGTATTTTGGTGCCTTTAGGTACCGTTTGGTACGTGGGACGGGACGGAACAACATGGGACAAGGCGTTCCGTCCCACGTTTGGTGCGCCTAAAACGGGTGGAACGAGCTGTTCCACGGGACGAGTTTTGGGTGAATTTTCGTTCCACCTCACCCCCCCTGGAACGACTCGTTCCACATCCGTGGAACACAAAATTATAACCTCTCTGTCTCCTTCTTCTTCCTCCTTGTTTCCATCCGAGAGCATCTTTGCTCCCGCTTCATTCCGTACCGTCCTATCCCGTCTCATCCCGTCCCATTCCGTTCCGTCCCGTCCCTTCTACATACCAAACGATACCTTAAAGAAAGAAGGGACTAAACACCAACCAAAGAAAATGCCTATATAAATCCAAGGGTCAAATTAACCAACCCAAATGGCTTGTTCCCAGAATGGCCAACATCCCATATTCTGAAAATATGGCCCCTTCTGCCGTGCATGCTAAGAATTATGGGTTCATGCACCATGCCCTCTCCTTCTCTTACTTGTCCATTTCATTCAAATTTCAAAGCAAAGATTTCTGCATCTTCTGGTTGTGAAAGTTTGGTCCCTTTGGACCACTAGTGGAGCCAAGGTGGGTGCAATGGGATTCATTGACCCTAGTAAGTTTGTTGGGCCACTACTTTCTTTTGATGCAAAGAAGAGAAAAAATGGGAAGAGGTATTGCTTTGGTTTTTTGAAGAATAAAGAAAAAGAAAGGCTGATAACTTTGGTTTTATAATGAGAGAGAAGGCATAGCCTTTTGTTTTGGCAGCATCCAATATATATTAAGGTATTTGTAATGGCTTTTGGTTTTGAGCAGCAGCAGAAGAGAGAAGAGTTGTTTGTCGACAGCTCCAATTTGTGAGCAAAGGAGAGAGATGAGAGCCACATCAGGGAGAGCATTCAGCTCTTCCATTTGAAAAAGTGCAGTTGGGTCTACCATTTTCAGAGAGAAGCAGACGCAGAGAGTGAGAAAAACATGGGGCACTATTTAGAGAAGGCAGTAACGGATTGCTTCATTTTTTGCTCTCCTTTGAGCAATTACTCATATTAGTGCTAGAGAAATTTGTTACCTATTTTCATATCTACTTGTTCTTTATTTGAGTGAGAGCCATGAGTGTATGTGGGATTTGGGATTTGAGTTTGAAATTTATTTTTAAATGAAAGTATGATCGATTTTTGAAAGCTATTTTTTGACCCCATTGCTGTAAATTCCTGGCTCCGCCACTGCTTTGGACCCTTATGTTAAATGAATTTTAACCGTGTATTTTTCTCCATTTTATTTTATCAACAAGACGCTATATCTTATGATTTATGCAAGGCATGTCCCCAATCATGTAACCCTAGATGCAGCTGTAAGTATAAAAGCTAAGTACCAAGATATTTTTAAAGCAAATCCCATGTGATATGTAACTTGTTTTTATAGATTGTTGCGGAATCAAATCATTATAATGGTGAGTTATTGTATAATCATATTTCAGTTTTAGAAGAAATTTTTATATAAATAGACATATACACCATTAGAATGATTTTTTACAGACTGTGAATCAAGATCATACATTCATATACATGGAAATGGAGGCTTATTTTAGCGTACATGATATTCATCTTCTATCTATTGTGTCTCGGATTTAAACATTTTTTTTATCCTCTAGTCTAGTGTAACTTAGAGTAATAGTATCGCTTGTAATTGAAAAAAAAATATCATACGTTCAAACACAATTTCACAAAAAAAAAAAAAAAAAAAAAAAAAAAACGATTCTTACGTATAGTCTAATAACAATATCGATTTTTAAGGCTCCTAATGCGGTCCTGTGGTTTCTTATGAAGGATTAGAAGAATTGTCTTTGGCGATTTGTCAAATGCGATTTATGTGTACACATATTTATAGAGATGGAAATCAGGTTGTATATATTTTAGCTTCTTTTGGGGCAGAGAGTTATACTTATTACTGGTGGTCCACGATTCCATTTTGTAGCCTCTGCTCATGCTCATGATATTTCTTTTTGTCCTTATTACCGTTTTCGTTGATCATTTTTGTCTTTGAGGGTCTTGGCATAGTCCCCCTGCATCTACCTTTTTCATTTACTTTCACTTATTATCAATAAAATTGGTGGAAAAGGGACGAGTCGGGTGTTTCTGGGTGTTGGGGTCCTCACTCCTTCGTTGGGGGTAGATGCCTCGCATACGACCATTGCCGATGAGTTAATATTGCCTTATAGAGTTAATATAGCCTAATCTTTCTTCATTTGAAAAAAAAAAAAAACACACACACACACACACACAAAACATTACATTGCAAGAGAAGAGAAAATCATTTTTTGATTCATGAAACTAAATAGATCAAAGTCTGGTTTATTGATTGAAGTTTAGGGCATGATATAGGGTGGGAAAATGTATGATATGTGGGTCATAAAATTAAAGGTTATATAGGCAATGGAGGGAAACCTTCGGGCCCTATGGATGGAGGCCGATCAGCATGGTAGAACAAGAACATGAACACATGGTCTCGTGGCCTTTGCACATGAAGACCTCTGTCACTTTATAGAACGCGACAAAAATACTTACCTGGGAAGCCCTAACAAGTATAATAACGACCTAGACTTTCTTATCAATTATTGCATTGTCTTCTAATTATTTTTTATTTTAATTTCTATAGAGCTTTCATTTTGTTGTTTTTTTGTTCTTCTGCCAAGTACTAGGCATGCGCAAATTGTATCCTGTAGATCTACACATATTTATTATAAATATGATGTAGGCTAAAAGCAGTCACTTCTTTTGTAAATGTATGCTATATTGCAGTCGAGAGTTGCCCGCTTTCTCGTAGGTCAAGCACAATCATCTTTAAATGTTCTTATACTTGTCAAGGGACTAGTTATAGTTCTTAAGTCAGTTTATTTTGTACAGCTAAGAGATTACATTGGTTGATAATGATTGAGCATTGTTCTAACTACATTAAGAGAGAATCCTATGTACCGGCCGGAATGCCAAATAGAAATGGTAGCTGCAACCGAAATAATAATGATGATGAAGATGAAGAGATATAATATAATACTAACAAGGGTTTCCGCATGAGGTTAAATTGGTTTACAATTTACGTACTTCCAGCCTGCAACCTGACCTAACCTTGGACTTAATCCCCCATTTCAGAAATTTAGGGTTTGGTAGTCAATTCCTTTGTACAGTGTTATGTTTACTCATCATGTTTTTGAATTTCATGATCAGCCAACTTTGCAGTGCACTTCTCATTGTTGCTCGGTAAACCGTCTATCTTTAAAGTATCCATTCAAACATAATCATTTCGGAAAAAAAATTCCAAATTGATGATCATTTAGGTATCTAATTACTGAGAAAACTTTATGTTATCATCCATGTAGTTTAATTGTAGTGCATGCATGTATGCGAGGCTGTTGTACTGGTGATTTTAAACGCATAAAAAGTCCAGTCACTGAAACATGTTGGCAATAATGGTCCCATCCATTTAACACAGAAATGTCCTCCTCCCACTTGCAATATTATCTTAAAATCTTCCCCAGGAACCCCAAGAATAATGTATACCAAGGGCAAATTAGGCATTATCACAAAAGTTAGAATGCTTCCTATAAATTGAGAAGTGCATGTCTGTCTGTTTCCCCA